AGGGGGAGGACAGGGCGGAAGGTGGTGTGTAGCCCAGCGCCTCTGCTACCTGAATGTACGAACACAAAAAGAGACACATACACACACAAAAGAAACTTACCAGCACAAAAACTAAATTTCAACAACGCAGGCCGTTTACAACTGGCGGCAAAGCAGTAACAAGGTAAGTAGCAGGGGGAGGAGCAGCAGTAGCAGGAATCGCCGTAGCATTAGCACACGCACACACGTGTGTTTTGACGCACGCAACATACCGTTTAACGCGCAAAGACATATACTCGCACACAACGATAAACAGCTACACGTACGCACATACATACATACATTTTTTGTTTTTTCCCTTTGGATCCCTTTGTCTTTAGTTGTGTTGTGGGGGGGTGTTTCAAAGAGCCTTTGACTTTGCCCTAGCTGAGACTTGTGGACTCGCTCTAGCGGGACCTGAGAGCCCTTCGTGGTGTTTTCACTGCAGCGCCATCCCTGGATGGAGGGGCTGCGGAATGGCTGCGTAGAGTGTTGGCAGTCTGAGTCGGGTCGGGAGCACACAAGACTAACCGACTTGTGCTGTGTGCTCCCGACCCTTGCGCTGTGTTTCGGCTTCGGCCCCCGGCTCTCGCGGCCCACAGTGTAATCTAAGTCATACATGCATACATACATCCATACATACACACCTCCCTCCCCCCACTACCTCGGGGTGTTGAGACCAAAGGGGGCTCTGGTCGCTCCAGTCCCCTCTCCACTCCAGACCGCCGGAACCGTGCGGGTTACGAACCTGGAACCCCCCGGGGGATGGGGATGTTGTTTGGCGGGGGGGGCGAGGAAAATGGGAAGGGGGAACCCCGGCGTGTGTGTGTATGTGTGTGTCTGTATCGGTACGGGGGAAAAAGCAACGCCGCGGGTAACGGGATGGGGATAGGGATGGAGAGGAAATGTACGGCGTTGAGGAGGAAGGAGAGCTAGCGGAGAGCGGGAAAGTCTCTTCTGAAGATTACAGCGTTTTTCACTCCTGCAGTCGGGCCCCTCAGCGGGTTGCGGGGAAAAACCCACCCACCTCACACACCCACCTCATCCCACCCCACCCCATACGTTGCTTAACCCTCCGCACACACCCAGGCCCCCACCCCAGCCCCCCTCTCCCACCTGCACCATCATCAGTTGCCCCCTCGCATCCGAGCTGACAGGCTGGGCCGCCATAACCGTGTAAGCATGGGCCCGTACGACACCATCCACATCCTGTACGACAGCGTCAAGGGGTTTGGCCGCCCGGAGGGGAAAAAGGTTTGGGACGGGAGGTCTAGGGAGTTGGAAACGTGCTCCACGGTTTGCAAGTAAAACGAATTTACGGACACCGTCGTACCATTATATCCACAGGGTGGTCAAGGGCATTGTGGGCCGGGGGGCCGGGGGATCGGGGGGTTGTGGGGGGTTGTGGGGTTGGGTTTGGGGCAGGTGGGAAGCAATTTCAATGAAAGGTTGGGACCCATGGGAATGTTGGCGGGAAAGGGTTAGGACAAATACAGCTTGCGGGGACGTGAGTGGGAAAAAGGGGCCCGATGCACATTGTGTGTGTTGGAGGGGGGCCCCTGCTGGGATGGTGTCACTCAGCGTGTATGTGTGTATGTCTGTCTGAATGTATGTGGTGACTGTTGTTGCTCCTTTTACTCCTTTCCGGGGAAATTGTGTGGAAAATCGCTGAAGGGGGGCCGGGGGGCAAGAGGGGGATGAGGTAGGTAGGTGGGGAGCTCTGCGGTACTACAGCTGTCGTGTGCTGTCTCTCCCAACACCTCACCCGCACAGCAAGTCGCACCGCCGCAAGGCCCGACACGGCGCACCCGCACCCGCGCCCGCACCCCACCTCAGCCTGCACGGTGCGCATACTACTCCGACACCCTACCCCTTCCGTCTACCCCTATCCCACCCCCCCACACACATCCCACCGTTTTTCCCCCTCTCTTTTTCCCTCATCGGTACCCACTCATCACACATACATACACACATACATGCACAATTACATACACAATCACATACATACATACATACATACATACATACATACATACATACATACATACATACATACATACATACATACACACACACCGTATCATCGTCAGTTCCAACGGTGGCTGCCGCTACGAGGTTACCGATAGCGAGATGGTACACAACCGCCTGGGGAGGCGAGGGGGGTTTTGTAAAGGGGGGGAAAGGGGGCGTCATCGTATGCAGCAAGAAGCACAACGGACCAACCGCCGACATCACCACATGTCAAAGAACCAACTGCCGTACGAATCCAAAGGGAAGGAGAAGAGTAGGGGAGATATGGGAGATCAGAAAAAACAAACAAAACCCTGCAGGGTCCGTGTCCGGTGACACATACGAGGTGATGCGGGGGTAGTTGGCCCCCCCCGGCCGAATTCCTGAAAATCGGGATGGTGTTGACAAAACCCCAAACAGGCCCCCCCCCCTCCCTCCCA